AAAGGGACGCACATGTTGGAAATTAGGTTGAAGGGGTGGGCAGGTGCCAGCAAAGGCCTGTAAGTGCCATGAAAGCCACTGAGGCAGGGGAATGCATGAGCTAACTCATGTGTCCAAAAGTGTGTGGCTCCTGTGGGAAAAAAAACTGTAGGCATGAGCTTGAGGCAGGATGGGCAGCGGACTCACTGGGATCAGGGCCACCATGGGAATGTCTGTAGGCGGGTTCAGGGCTCCGTGCAGGACTCCAGGCAGAGCTGGCCTGCAAGGTCGGGACTTGCATGCCTGGAAACAGGACACATTGAGGTCAGGAGGGCCCAGGCCCAGCAGGCAAGGTTGCTGTGGTTACTGGATGGGCCCCAGGAAACAGGAAAGCCAGATGCCTAGTGAGAAGGATGGTGTCACACAGCTTCCATGAGGGCAGTAAAAGTGACTTGATGCTGAGTAATAGAGTGCTAAAGTGGGTGACTCCCTCAGGTCCCTGGTCAGGGCTGCATCTGGGAGCACATCCTGAGCCCAGCTATGGAGAATGGAGGCAGTGGAGGCTGGAGAATGGAGGCAGTGGAAGCTGGAGCCCCACTAGGCTCAGAGCACTCCACTGGCTGGAATGAGGGCAGGCCAGTGAGCAAGCACAGGAGGGCTGGCTGCCTGGTAGGAAACCCAAAAGAAAGAAGCAGCTTCCTGAGTGGTCAGGCTGGATTCACAAACAGGAGAGTGGGAAGAGAGGGAGGGAAAGACGTCTGGCTCTCAGGCAAAAGCATCCAGACAGATGAAGAGATGGTCACAGAGGAACCAATTTAACAGTGGCAGAAACGGTCAATCAAGATAAAACTGATGGGGCCAGGCACAGTGACTCATGCCTATAATCCCAGCACTTTGGGATGCTGAGATGGACAGATCACCTGAGGTCAAGAATTCAAAACCAGCCTGGCCAACATGATGAAACCATGTCTCTGTTAAATACAAAAATTAGCTGGGCATGGTATGGATGCCTGTAATCTCAGCTACTTGGGAGGGTGAGACAGGAGAATCGCTTGAACCCAGGAGGCAGTGGTAGCAGTGAGCCAAGATCACACCACTGCCCTCCAATCTGGGCCACAGACTGAGACTCTATCTCAAATAAAATAAAAATAGAACTGAAGAACTAACAGGTCCAAATAGGGAAGTTTCCTGGGTCAGCAGTGTGGACATGTGAGTCCTGTGTCCCTAGGTCACACCCAGCTCTGGCCCTGAGAACCTGGGATAACTGAGTAAGCACCGAGGAGCCCACAAGGTTGTGAAGTTCATAATTCCTAACACAGGGTGTGCATTCCTGTGGCGGCCAAGGAGAATGAAGAGGGAATGAGATTGCACAGGCTGTGGCCATGCTGCAGGGCTTTGACTTAAGTCTTGCTGGGATATAATGTGATAACACGCCTGCTCTGAGTCTCCATATACTCAATACACAGGACAACAAACTTTGTCAGAAAGGTGATAGAACAGTAAACATGATGTTAGATGAGAAAACTACCAAGCAGAGGGCTCCACATCATCCACAACAGCATAGAACCTCTGAAGGTTCCTGCCAAAGCATAAAGTGAAAACAAAAAAGAGAAATGCCCTGGCCGGGCGCGGTGGCTCAAGCCTGTAATCCCAGCGCTTTGGGAGGCCGAGGGGGGCGGATCACCTGAGGTCAGGAGATCAAGACCATCCTAGCCAACATGGTGAAACCCCCTCTCTACCAAAAATACAAAAATTAGCTGGGCGTGGTGGTGCGCGCCTGTAGTCCCACCTACTCAGAAGGCTGAGGCAGGAGAATCGCTTGAACCCGGGAGGCAGAGGTTGTAGTGAACCAAGATGGTGCCACTGCACTCCAGCCTGGCAACAGAGACTCAGACTCAAAAAAAAAAAAAGAAATGCCAGTGATGTGTCCAGTGTGCCCCCACCTCCTCTTCTTCCTACCTTTCACAGTCTACCTCTAAGCTTTCACCCCAGCTTACTTCTGTGGGTTCCAAATGTGGGTCCCAGAGTCAAGAAAACCTCCGAGGTTCTGTAAATGAGAATCATCCACATCACCAGTGTTTACTAGCACTCTCACCAGGCACAACTCCACGGCTGTGAGGTTTTCAGGCACACCTTGTCCTGCCTGCCTGTCTGTCTGTAGGGCCACAGAGACTGTAACTTGAGTCCAAGGGATGGCAAAGTCAGGCTTGCCAGGAGTGAGGAATGTTCCCAGGAAAGAAGGGAGAGGGGAGGCTTTAGAGCACAGGCAGGACTGGGGACGAGGGTCCAGAGGAGACTCAGTGTCACTCTAGGCTGACCAGGACTGAGCCAAGTCATGCTCAGGGATCCCAAGGGGCCAGCACACAGTTAAGCAGAGGTACAACAGGTGCTTCCTTCAGAACAAATGTATGGGGAGGGGACCAGGAAAGAGGATGCCTGTCAGTGAGACAGGAATAGCATTGCGTGGTCACGGGAGCATGGAAAACCCCTAACAACAGCTAAAACAAGAACAAGGCAAAGAAACGACAACATAACAGAAAACCCAAAGGAAGAGCAAAAACAGCCGAAATCCCATTCAGGGTAACTTGTCCATGGCTCTTCTGGGCAAACCCAAAGAAGGAAGAAAGGAGACAGTAACCCAGGGGGGCTCCCTGAAATCTCCTCTTCTTCCAGAATGCCTAATAATTATTCCATCCCCTAATTAAAGAAACACCCATAAAATTAGAAACCCAGACTCAGCGGGGAATGACACGTTCTGATGAGCATGCCCGCACTTCTCTCTCAAGTGTGTACTTTCACGTCTCACTAACAGTTTCTTGCCTTTCATATTATCCTGACTCATTTCCAAGTTCCTTCTCAAGACAGTGTCAAGAGCCTGGATTCCAGCTGGGGCTGGGGGCTCACCAGCATCTGGAGAACCTCCTGAGTCCTCTGGCAACATCAAGAGAAGGAAAAGAAGATCCCTCCATGAGGGGAATCCCTGCACACTCCCCTCCCTGTATGTCCCTGCGCACTCCCTGCCCTGGGACATGGCACGGCTGCTTTGCACCAAGCCTCACCCTTGGCACTCAAGTCAGCTGTGCTCCCTACGATCCGTCTACCCACTGTCTCCAGGACAAGCACTGTCCCAATCACCAAAGCTGGCACATAGTAATGCAGGAAAGTGAATGGATTAGTGAATGAGTGAACAAATGAATGTGTGCACAGATCACTTGTTCAATTGGAGTCCCGAGTTTGGAAGTGAATGAATGGGGAAGAAAAAAAAAATCAGTCACCAGACCCCAGATCCAAATCATGAGATGTAGTAGCTGAGTGACCTTGGATGTAGCGTATCACTTCTCTGAGCCTCAGCTTCCTTATCCGAAGGTGGCCTTGCAACCCTGTGGGGATATGGGAGCAGCAAGGGCTGGGTAGGCACCCAGTCAACATAAAGCTTACGGGCTGTTGCCATCTTTCATCACAACCCCAGGACATGAAGCAGATCCTGTGCATCCTGGGACCTCCAGCTGAAAGCTCTTCAGGCTCCTGGGCAGGGAGCAGGCAATGCGACCTCCCAGGGCTCAGGTGGGGTGGGGCTGGCAAGGTGGCTTGTCACTTCACCAGTTAATGATGCAGCTGCCAGCACAGCCCAGCCCAGAAGGCCCCAACCTTGGCACCAGCCACCTACAGCCACGTCACAGCTCTGCCCCAACCTCCCCGGAAGGGACCTGCTATGTCTTGTTCAAAAACAAGGATTTAACACTGTGTGCCAGCGCTGTGCTGGGCCCAGGGGAGGAAGGCAGAGTGGAGTAAGGCCTCATGTGCTAGTGCCTTTGAGTCCATCAGAGAGCCAGGAAAGCAGATGAGGAATGACAATGACAGGGTGGCAAGTGCCAGGGCAGGGTTGGGTCCTATATGCCCGGCAGCCACAAAGGAGCAAGCATTTCCCTATGCAAGGGCATCCCTGAGCATTCCAGGGCAGTGCGCCAGTCCTGATGGAATCTGTCAGGTGGATGAAGGCGGAAGGACATTTCCAACAGCAAGAGCCACTCATGCCAAGACCAGAAGCAAGAGCAAGCATGTCCAGATGGTGCGAATGTGGCCTGTGGCACCTGGTGGGGACCGGCCAGCAGTGAGCCTGACATGGAGAAGGGCCACATCACCAAAGGGCCTGCGTGCTCAGCTCTGAAACAGGACTTTGTCCTGGATTGAAAACTTCAAAGGGCGAAGGCACATAAGCCTTGCGAACTGTAAAGTGCATGCAGCATCCACAGAAACTACCATCCCCAACAGGATTGAGTCCTGTGCCAATCCAAGCCTCAGCAGCCAGCCAGCTTCTGGCCCAGGGGTCCAGAACGACCTCCTTCACCCACAGGTGTACCAGTCCACAGGACTGACTGGCACATGACTTTGCATACAAAACACCTGAAATGTAGGCTCTCATCTACAGTTGCTACAACCACTTGGGGCTGGTCATTCATTGTATGGAACATTCCCTGATGCCTTCTCTCCGGATGCCCAGTGGAATACCAGGCACAACCCACAGCATCCTCCCACCAAGAGGATCTGGAGGAAAAGGGACAATCCACAGGAAGGGGCCCTAGCCGAGAACTGCTGTGCCACGCATGCCAGGGAGAGAGGAACTGCATGTCTATACCACACCCTGGCCCAGTCCCAATGGCAAGGGTCACACATATGCCCTTGTTCACCCTGCCATTGCCACCCACGTCAGAGCACAATCTGACATCTCAATGGTGTCTTCCCAGAACTCAGGCTTTCCACAACAAGACACAGCAAGTCTCAACTCCCCCACCCCAGTAGGGCTCCTGGACACCTCTGCAGCAGCCTCGAAGCCCAAAAGTCCTGATCAAAAGACAAAAGCCCAGGCTCATGGGACCTGACGCCCACAGGACAAGGGTTTCAAGCCCCCAGCCCTCATCACCCCAGTGCCCATCTTGAAGAAGAGCACAGCCTGACCCTGCTGATTTTTCTACTTCCTGGGGGACTGGCAGGCTGCCCCTCCATGACTCCCAGCCACGTACCTCGCTTGGTCTTTGGAGGCCTGAGACCCTCGTCCTGGGCCAGGGCCTCCCAAGTCTCCCGCTCCCTCCAGCGCCTCAGCTGCTCCTCCCGCATCTTGTAGAAGAGGATGTGCTTTTGCACATCGCTGAGCTCGGCGAGGAGCTCGGGGTCGATGTACATGTCATGCAGGATCTGCTGCAGCATGATACCGCCTGGGATGCCCGCACCGGAAGGGCAGCTGGCTGAAGAAGCAGGGCCAGGCAGAACGACTGAAGGGTGGCTCTCCACTCGTCAATCCAGGACCACTTCTCTATGCAGGTGCCCCTTCTCTATGCAGCATCGTTAGTTGGCCTCAGCTCACAGCCAGCAACAGACTCTTCTCCTCTACCCAGGATAGCTAAAGAGGCCAGGCAACAGGAACCAAAGGGGCAGCTGGGACTCTGCAAGGTGGAGCAGCCCCCAGGAGCAATCTAGTCCTTTTGCTGTGTCACTAAGCACAGCATCCCAGCAGAGCTCATGTCTTGGCCTCACCTGGGGTTCTGGGACAATGAGGAGGGCCCAAGCCTCCAGCTCAGCCAGGCAATACCCAGCCCTGCCTGGGCCAGTAGGTGTCAAGTGATCTGTTAGTGGAAGGTAACAATGACACCAGCTGTATCGATGACACTGCCCTGGCCAGCTGGGAACCGATCTCTCCTCTGCAGATAAGAGGAGGAGAAGGAGGCAGCTTTGCCTACTAAGTTCCATGTCTTTTCAGCCAATTTCAAACAGAGACCAGAGGAGCCTGGCAGGAGCTGCTGAGCCCCTCAGCCCCCTCAGCCCCTCTCTCTCTGCTGCCTCCTTCATTGCCAATTTTCTTCTTTTCTTTCTTCTTTTCCAGAACACTTGGCATTCTGAGGTGATGTGTTTTAAAACTTTGCCTTGGGAGAAGAAAGATTTTCCCTCCTATCTGTATTATAGCCAAGAAAGAAAACAAAATGGAATCAGTAGACAACTGGAGGGGATTTTATCGTGGAATTTCAGGACAGAAAGGAAGCAGACATCCATTTGGCCTATAATAAGATCATACAGCCATGCGTGTCCTGACAGATAAACCCTCCAGGGGCCAATTTGAATGGTTGTTAATCTTGTTGTTTGTTGCAGATATCTGGAGTTGACCAAAAAGAAAGAAGATGAACCGGCTCTTCTCTGTGCCCTGATCAGAAGCACGCTGGAAGGGCAGGATGTTGCCTTCTGCCAGGAGGGAACCCACCTGCTCATATTTAGAGCAAAAGTTCACCCTAAATATGTGCTCGGAGCTAACCACAGATGCCTTTTATTAGGACAAGGATATTGAAGCTCAGAGAAAGTAAATGGCTTGCCTACAGCTACCTAATGCACAAGTCACCCTATTAGGACTCCCTCATTTTGAAATTTGACATTCACTAGCAACTATGAATCTGTCCATGGTTTGAAAACATAACCCGACTGGCGATAACAAATGAACCAACAGGATTTGGCACTGTGGCTTGGTTGGATTGGTGACCTTCCTGTCTCCTTCCCTGCCCATGAGGGTGGAAGGTGGATCAGGTACCCAAGAGTGATGGAAGTGGGGTGGAGAGTCGGGCTCTTGCCCCTCCGCAAGGTTAACACGACAGGAAGACAGACTAAGCAGGTTCAGATGAGCTGTAAGCTGACAGAGTAGAAGCTCCTGCTTAGCTGGGCAATGTCCAGGTCACAGGAGGGGAGTCAGGCGCCGCACCCAGGTCCAGCTGGCTGGTCCCAGTGTGACCCACACCTTCCTGGAGGCTGCACAGGACTGGCCTGTCCCCTGCAGATATGTGGTCCCGGACTCCCATCTGCCTGCCACTCTTCTCCCACCCCAGGCCTTGCACCGACTCCCCTGCGGGAGTCCTGACTCCCCTCATTTTCTGAGACCTGGGGTCCTCCCCAGTCTCCATTCAGCTATTCTCTTTCTCGCCCTCACAGTGGCTGGTGGGAGACCCCCGAATCCAGAGAGGAGATAAGGGGAGGAAGGTCCCCGGGGTGTCTGGGCTCCTGTGGCAGCTTCTTTCTGTCTTTCCCGGGCCGCCAGATGCCTACGACCACAAGAGGGCATGGGGCAGAGACAACCCTGTAGAAAGCAGCAGGAATGGGCCGGCTGGAGGCGGGCGCGAATGGCGATGGCGCCACCCTGGAGGACCCTGGGAAGGGTGGGAGGAGGCCGGACCACAATGACCCCCGCTAGCGCCCACTGTGTGCGACCGAGGGGATCGCGCTGGGGGCGGGTGCTCCCTGGCACTCCCAGGTAAGTGGGGCCGGAGGCCAAGACACACCGAATTGCTGGGACGTGAGAGTGACGCAGCCGCGATGGCAGCCCGGGAGCGAGCAGGGTCCGGCATCTGGAAAGACTCGCCCTCAATTCTCCTGGGCGGCGGCGGCGCTCGGTCCGCTTGGGGCGCCCCCGGGCGGCCGCACGGGGAGGCACTCGGCTTAGCAACCTGGGTGAACCGGGTCCGCTTGGACCCCGGGAGCAGGTGTCGCACGGAACAGCAGAGTCCGCGGCTGGAAACCAGGCAGGAGAGCTACGGAGTATTCACACAGGTTTTCTGCCGCCTTTCAACTGGTTTTTATTTTGCTTTCATTTTTCACCGGCCCATGTGGCTTGTTTAATGCTGCACGCTAACGCAGTTTCTTCCGGGCCCGGAGGCACACGCACGCAACACTGTTGTGCAAGTGACTGGAAAGCACCTGAATGTCCCTCCGTGGGAGTGGGTTGCCCAGCGTGGAGCTCTACTTCTGTCACAGTGAGGTCGACTGTTTTGGCGAGGGAAGGGGCCACCGCTGATAAAATGAAAAGACACCATGCGGAATACTATGCGCAGGGTAATCCATTTTTCAAAATTCTGTATGTTCAATTACTTCTGTGGAGACAAAGGGAAAAATACGGAATATCACACACCTAATTGTTTAGCATTGCTTCTTCACTCCTTGGAATGGGGGGAACTAAGACTTTGAACAACTCTGTTGTTTTACACAATGAGTAGGATATACTTACATAATTCAGATGACTGAACTATAATGCATTTTAAGTTTTAAAATGTGATCTAAAAGAACGAACTTCTGGGAGCTCAGCATCTATGGAGCAGGGACTCACCCCAGAGAGGGAACTGCAGCCAAACCAGGCTTCCCTATGCCAGGAAGACTGGGTAGTGGCAATGGAGAAACCATCCATGTCCCCTGGGGTTCCTAAGCTGAGGAGGGCTTTGAGGGATCTCTTAGAAGCTGCTCTGGCACTAGTGTGGAGAGGACACTGGGAGAGCAGAAGTCAGGGTGAACAGCCAGTGGACTCTGGCCAAAGTCCAAGAGAAGGTGATAGGGACTGAGCCAGCCTTGCCAGTGGGAGCCAAGGAGGGCAGAAATGGGGGTCCCGGAGACTCCTATCAGGCACTCTGCTTCCACATAAAATCCTTTCAAAGCTAAAGTCCATATGACCAGTGATGGCCAGACAGCCCCATCATCTCAGTGTGGCTGAGCCTGGCACAGCCACCACGTAAGGATCGGCGACAGCAGGTGAGTCTAGAGTAGTTTCTTCCTTGTCTCCACTGAAAAATCATGGGTGTCAAAATCAATAGCATCTCCTATATGAGTGCAACAACTACTTAGAAAATACCATGTAAAAAAAAATTCTTTCGTAATGGGAATAAGACATATGAAACACTTGGAATGAATTTAATAGTGTGGGAGCCTGTATTGAAGAAAGTAAAACTCTTTGCTGAGAGCACACCTAGAATTTAATTAAGTTTAACATAATTAAGGTCATAGAGGAACACACCACACTGACACGCAGAAAAAACCCATACTGTAAAATGTGCCATTCATCTGTGCGTTAGCCGGTCTCCAAGATGGCTCCAATGATGCCCTCGTCCTGGAACTGACACCGTTGCACAGTCACGCTCGCATGTATTAGAGTTGGTCTGAGTGATCAATCGAATATGCCAGAAGTGACATGTGCCAACAGATAGATTACTGGTTGCACACTCTCTCTGATAACTCACTGTGGGGGAAATTATATTGAGAAAGCCACGTGGAGAACTGAAGCCTCCCACCACCAGCAGTCATGGAATGAGGCTGGAAGGGATCCTCCAGCCCTGGCCAGCAGTTTCACTGCAGCCTTGTGAGAGACTCGGAGCCACAGTCACCCACCAAAGCTGCTCCTAGATTCCTGACCCTCAGAAGGGTATGAGATATGTATGTGCTGCTTCGAGGTGTTAAACTTTGGGGTGATGTATTATGCACCAAAATGTAACTCAATATGTATTATGAGTAATACATAATACTCAAAATGTAACTCAGTATGTATTATGCAGCAAGATGTGACTCAAGTTCATGTATACATTGAATATCATTTCAAGCCAAAACTGAAAGGAAATTGGGAAGCAGAGAGAGATTTGATAAAACGATTCCCAAGTTAACCAAAAGAATGAACAGGTGAGAAACAGCCTTGATAATATTAAAGAATGGTGAATTCTATACTGTGCCACTATTCAAATTTATAAAATTAAACATTTCAGTTCTGATACAAGAAAAGGTAGGTTGAACCAAAAAGAGCTCTCCTAGATCATTATTATATGATCAAAACGGCAGTTCAAAGTAGTGCAAACAGGATGAAAGCTCAGCAGTGAAGCTGGGACAATTTGCTAGATCCTCACCTGTGATCCTGCCAGCACACCCTTCAGCAGTCATGTCCTCTGGAGGTTCTGTGCCTATATTAGAATAATTACTGCAACATCCATCATCACACTGAAAAGTTCAGAATAACTGATGTATTAAATAAAAGGGGTTTAGACGGTAAACAAGAGCACATCCATAGGATAAAATGTAATACAGCCACTAGAATTGATGGTAAGCGGTGTATTGGCATACAGGGTGCTCGTGATGTGTTCAGTGGTAAGGGGGAAGGCAGGTTTAAAATCGTATGTGTCATATGATCCCAGTTTTACAAATCTGCATCAGGAAAAAGAATCATTTCACTTCCACTGCTTTCTAAGGAGAGTAAATAAGTTCTATTAAAAGGAAGAGCCCCTGATCTGGGCCACTAGCTAGGTTTGGAGATGAAGCTGTGGGGGCTGAGCTGAGCTCCTCCACATAATACACACCAGGAAATTGAGGTTTCTGAGCTGCAGAGACAACAGAGGAAGAAGAGGAGGAGGTGCCATACAACCCAAGGTTATGGCCCCAAATCTCATCAAAACTCGTGCTGTGAGATTTTTTTATTTTTTTTTAATGTGAATTGTATCTAATTCTGCCAGATAGAGGCAGGGCTCATCAGAGGTCCCTAAAGGACACAGGAGTTGGGGACACACAGGCTGCCAGGAGCATGAGTCCCTGGAAACTGGCAGAAATCATGGGGAAGGCTTGAGATTTTCCTTACCATGGGATTGGTGGCATATAAGTATCTCTAACAAACAGCAACACCCACGCTGACATTGTAAACAACTGTATACACACACACACACACACACACTTTATGATTACAACAGCAGAGCCCAGGCTGGCAGCCAACTGGACCTGTGTCACACAACTGCACCCAACTTGCCAGCCCAGAGCTCCCAGGGAAGTTCTCCCTCCCAGGACTCCCTTTCTTCCTCTGTGCCAGGGTAACCACTGGGGGTAACCAGCAGGGTGCGCCACAGGGCTTTGGTCCACATTAGACAGACAAGGTATGCATGAGCCAGCCAGCTGCAGAGCAGATGTGTAAGTTCTGACCCACTAACTGGGTGAGTCAAAGTGATACTGGCTGAGGGGAGTGGGCTATGGTAGCTGATTCTGTCTACCTAGTAAGCTTCTCCATACTCTAGGTTTAAAAGAAAAATCTTGGCCAGGTGTGGTGGCTCACACCTATAATCCTAGCACTTTGGGAGCCTGTGGCAGGTGGGAGGTCGTGGTTTGAGAACAGCCTGGCCAACATAGTGAAACTCTGTCTCTACTAAAAGCACAAAATTTGCCAGATGTGGTGGCGTGCACCTGTGGTCCCAGCTACTCAGGAGGCTGAGGCAGCAGAATGGCTTGAACCCAGAGGTGGAGGTTGCAGTGAGCCAGATGGGGCCACTGCACTCCAGCCTGGAGGACAGAGCGAGAATCTGTCTAAATAAAATAAAACAAAATAAAAAGTATTGAGTGCTGGACGGGCCTGTGACTCAGGTCTTGGGAATGAAATACAAGAGAGAAATACACTGATTTTCTATGATAGTTGTTAACTCGGGGCTGCTGGCACTCTTGTTTCCCTGCAGGGGAAAGGTCTGAGAGCCTCCGGCATGCAGAGAGAAGCAGAGATGCCGACAGGGAGGAAGCAGGCTGGCCGCGGTGAGTCTCCTTCCAGCCACCACAGCCCTGGTTCCTCTCAGTCTGTGACCCTCCCACATCCTTTCCATCTATGAGAGCCTGTAAACCCCCTTTTGCTTAAGCTTGTTCTAAAGTTTTAAACAATTGCCACCAGTATGTCCTGACCACCCCAGTGGCTTAAATGTTTCTCTACTTCTCTTGCCTAGGACGCTGCAGAGATTGGCAGGACAGGAGATTAAGGAAGTGAGGACCCTGGGCCACATCATCACTGAGGGCCCTTCCTGAGGTCTGCTTCCCACAGGAAGTCCTCCCCGGGCCCTGAATCCACCCTCCACCTCCTTGTTGGACGTCGGCTCCATTAGAGAGATGCATGGCTCCAGCCCCACTTGCTCTGCCTCCCTGTGGGAAGCTGCTGACAACGAAGGAAAGGTCAGTGAGTCCTGCTAATTAGAAAACTTTGTCCCATCCGATTTCCCCTGGAACAAGGTCACTTAGCACTCATGCAACAGATTGATTAAACCTCAGCCAGGACTGACTCTTTTTAACTCAGAGTGCAGGAGGGAATCTGTGAGGCACACCCCACATGGCAAACTGGCTCACACTGTGGACAACCTCCCACAAAGTGCCCCCGGGTCCCCTGGTACCTACTAAAGACCACAGAGCCTGCCAGCCCTGCCTCCTGCCTCACTCACTGCAGATGAGTCCATCCACAGCACAGGCCCTGCCCACTGAGCTTGAGACCACTCACACCCAGAGCAAGAAGAGGCAGAGTCCTTGCCCTGCAAGTGGCTGGGAACTTGAGTGAGCCAGACTCCCCAAGTCCAGGGGATCCTGGTGCGCCCAATTCCTGTTCCCTCCCCAGTGGAAACCTTTCCTCCATGCCTTCTTGTGGCAGCAAGCACTGTGTCAGGGGCTTTCTATTGTATCTTATTCAATTCTTAGAACAGTATTGTGAGGAAGGTCATTTTATTATCTCAAGTTCATATTTGAGGAAAGTGAAGCACAAGTTCACACAGATGCTAATGATGGATCCAGGACTTAAACCCAGGTGTCAGGGAACCCTGGCTAGGCCCTCCCCTCCCACCCCATCCCTCCTCCCCTCCACACCTCCCCACCTTCCAGGCTCTAATTGTCAGCTGGACACTCCTTCCAGGGTTACACTTCTACAGACCCAAGAGCTGCTGCTCACCCTACCCCTCCCCAGTGACCAAATCTGGAAGGCACTGAAGGAATTCGTGTGCTGTCTGTCCCTCAATCTGGACACAGAGAACACACCTATCTGGTCCCGTGGAGCCCACACCTCTGCCCAATGTGACAAGGAGCCCACCAACTCCAGGTTGCACTATGTAACAGAAAGAAGGTTGAGCAGAGGCTGTGAACCAGGCAAATCCAGCCACAGCAGACTGGGCCCTAAGTTCCCTATAAATAGAGATTTAGAAAGCCAGGAAATCCAGTGCCAAGGTTCACTTCCCTAAACCACGGGACCTGGGGCACAGACCACTGCCGTCTTCCCATATGTGGCCTCTCCTGTTTCTCCTACACACAGAGCTAGACCTTTGTGTCATTTCAGGTGGCTTGTGAGTTCTGACCTGCAGAATGTGAGCACAAGCAGGGTACTCGCCATCTAGTCCTAGTGCCCCAGATCCTCCCTCCCTGATCCTCACCTTTTCCCTAACCACCAGCTGACTAGAGATGATTCCAACAGCTACAGGAGGGTAGAGCCACAACGTGAAAGGAGCCTGGGTCCATGAAAGACTGCTGGAGCAGAGAATTCCCCACCCTAGCTCCCAGCAACTTAGTCTGGCAATTTCTTGGTCTGAGTCTGTTTCCTCTGATGTAAAATGGGAAAAAGGGTGTTTGTTCACTCCCCCACCCCCATCAGCCTGGCAGTTTTGTGCCCACAGCAGGTTTTCTATGAGGACTATGACACAAGCAAAAAATAAACATTTTTCAAAGGCACCCAAGTATATAGGTGGTGTTTGTTATAGTGGTAGTCTATTCTGGCTCTTCCGTAATCACCTGAGGGCTGGTTAAAACATTTTGTTAGGCTCCATCCCAGAGTTTCTGGTCCCACAGGCCTGAAGGAAGAGACAAAGAATTTGCATTTTATTTGATTGATTGATTGAGACTGAATTTCGCTCTTGTTGCCCAGGCTGGAGTGCAGTGGTGTGGTCTCAGCTCACTGCAACCTCTGACTCCTGGGTTCAAACAATTCTCCTGCCTCAGCCTCCCAAGTAGCTGGGATTACAGGCACCCACCACCATGCCTGGCTCATTTTTTGTATTTTCAGTAGAGACGGAGTTTCACCATGATGGCCAGGGTAGTCATGAACTCCTGACCTCAGGCGGTCTCCCAAAGTGCTGTTATTACAGGTGTGAGCCACCGAGCCTGGCCTGAATTTGCATTTTTAACAAGTGCTAGGGGTGACACTGCAGCTGCTGCTGGCCTGGGAAACCAGTGCCCTAGCACATAGCTGCAGTGTGGGAGTTACTATCCCATTTTGCTGAGGAAATGGTACCTAGTCCCTGGCCGTCATGGGCACTGTGCTGCCTTCCTGCTGTGCCTCGCCAGTGCCTGCCCACGTAGTTGCTCACTGATTGTGGCCTGCAAGTGAGTGTCATCAGAAGGAGGGAGAAGAGTTCCTAGAGTGGAAACCCTGGGCTGTAAGCCCGGCTCTGCCATCTCCCATCTGTCAAGCAGCAGGCAAGCTCGTTAGTCTGAGTCTTTTTCCTCTGATGTAAAATGGGAAAAAGGGTATTTGTTCACTCCTCCAACCCTATCAGCCTAGTAGCTCTGTACCCACAGTAGGTTTTCTATGAGGACCTGTCTGATGCCCTTGAGTGGCAGATACTTGGGACTGAAGGAGGACTTCTGGTCCTAGATGCTCCAGTCCTACGCCCTGACAGCCACAGTGAATACCCACCTGTCTCACCCCCTCCAAGGCAACTGACACCTTTCCTGGTACAAGCTTGCAGCGGGGAAAGGGGAGTTGTATGGGAAAAAAAAGACTAAGGCTACAATCACAAATTTTAAATGCACACCTTTGCCGGTTATGAAAATTGTGTGGCAAAGAGAAAGGAGTGGAGAGTTTACCAGCCAAGGGCTGGAGGACCCCAACACCCCAGTTTCTTAGAACATTCATTTCAGGTTCTCTTTTACACTACCAAATTCCTCCCACCCCATCCCCCGCCAACCACAGCTTCCAGGAATCACTGACATTCACAGATAAGGGAAGTAAACACAATTCAGAACAGTTATGTTGAAGAGAGATTCAAGCGCACATGTTACAAACAAGGCGAGTCCCAGGAATCATTCAGGAGAAAAAGGCAGAATGACACTGAAATCCATCCTGATGGTTATCCCAGGGAGTAAAACCTTCAAGATCTCCTTGTCAGATGAGACTTTTAGAATAGGTGACCTGACATTCTGTTGACTGAGAAGAGCTGATGTCATCCTCAGAGCCCAGGTGATACACACATTCCTGGATTTGGCCACAGGGTGGATGGTGGTACCCTCAGCTGAGATGGGAAGACGGGGCAGGGCAGTTCTATGTGTGGGTGGAATTGGGGGTTGAAGAGAAGCAAAGTTCAGCAGTTTTGAATGCGGCAACTGAGATGTCCGCGGGAGTGGATGGGGAGGCAGATCTAACAAGGGTTTGAGGACACTCAGGCTCTCTGGGTGACAGACATGGCCTCAGTGATCCATTTACCACAGAGGACAGTGAGTGGCCCCAGGCTGCCTCCCTCAGTGGCTGGCTCTTACCTAAGGCACCTGGCGGAAGCTCGGTCCCTCAGGTTTCACTTTTCACCATGAGATATTGGCTCCTTTAAATTTCTGCCCGGGTCCTATTTTAAAAGTGGCTCTGCTGAATGGACAAGAGGTGGAAGGAAATTTGGAATGAGCAAAAGAGATTCTGGTTGTCTTCAGTAGAAAACTATGCATTGGGCCTGGTGTGGTGGCTCACTCCTGTAATCCCGACACTGGGATGACAGGCAGGCGGATCACCTGAGGTCAGGAGTTTGAGACCATACTGGCCAACACGGTAAAACCTTTATCTTCTAAAAATACAATTAGCCAGCCGTGGTGGTATGCACCTGTGTAATCCCAGCTACTCAGGAGGCTGAGGCACGAGAATCACTGGAACCCAGGAGGCAGAGGTTGCAGTGAGCCAAGATTGCACCACTGCACTCCATCCAGCCTGGGCGATAAGAGTGAAACCGCATCTCAAAAGAAAAAAAAATGAAAACTATGCATTGCTTAGGGCGCACCCTTCCAGTTATCTGATTCTAGACTTTCATTGCCTTTGAGCTATTTCAACAACTCTGTAAGTTGCAGAGTTAATGCAAAATATAATTCTTGTCTAAGGATATGCATATAATATATACGAATGAGATTCAATTGACCTTTCTCCTCCAAAAAAAAGAAAAGAAAAACCCAGCCAGTTTCAACATTCCTGTACTCCAAATAGATTTATGGTTCATTGTGATTTCTCTTTTGAACTGGCTGTTAATCTCAGCGGCACTCTCAATTCAGTTAAATAAAATCTTAGACATGTGTACATGTAATATTTATGAGTCATGTCTTTTTTTTAAAAAAAATTATCTTTAACAGTGGGCATGGGAAGGACCACGTCTCAGAGATGGAAAGGCTTGTCGTGGTCCACGCAGCACAAAGCCCATCCCCAGCCCTATCATCCCAAGGGTGTAGCCTGGGCTTGCAAACCTCCAAGGACAGGGTGCTCAGTCCCTCCTAGAGGCCACTTCACTTCGTCCCGTATTAGATCACAGCTATGACTTTAAAAACAAGAATGAGTACAAATCTAAAACTAGAAGAAAACACTATGGTCCTCCCAGACAGCTGAGTGCTTGGGCCTAAATCAGCATCTACACACACGATGTGCAACCCTGGGTGATGTGCACAGGCAGTGTGGCTGAAATGGCTGCAGGTGGAGTGAGGCTAGAGGAAAACACAAGCTCGTGGAGACACTCCACTGCCTCAGAACAAAACCCTGGCTTTTCCTGACCTTCCAGCAGTGTGACTGTGTGTATTTTCAAATATCAGGTTTTTCTCAGGGCACCAAGGCAAGCCAAGCAAGGCCCACACACGCTAGTCTCACACAGGTCCTATAGCCCTGGCCCCAGGTTCCCAGCCCTGCCAAGCTGTCCTCACAGAGATGGACACCCTTCCTCATGGGAGGCACGGAGGAGCACCCAGTCCCACTCAGACCTCAGGCAAGTCCCGGTACACCCCAGGGCCTCTGTTCTCCTTACATGTGGTACCAGATGGGGTCCACCAACTGTCCAAACATGATGTCCTGCCATCTTCAGAGCACATTAGCCCCAGCACTATGCTCACAATAATCCCTTCTCCCCATGGACCATCCCTCCTGGCTCCCAGGCCTCTGTGGCCTCCCCTGGCCCCTTGGCAGGTGATGGCCACTCTGCTCCTTCTGGGAGCTCCCTGGCAACTTCGGTTGTGTTGGTTTCTGGTAGGATCTGCACTTCAAGCAAGAAGCAACACCCTGCCTTGCCTCCCCACCTCTATGGCACAGAAAGTAAACAGACCTTGAACTCCAAATGCCTGCTGAGGCTTGCCGCAGACCTCGAAGCCTTGTTCCCAAAGGGACAGGGAAGTGGACTGTTTCATTTCAGTGTGGTTCAAAGCTTGAGCTGACATGTGACAGTCTTGCAGGGACTGGCAGCCACAGATAAAATCCCCCAGTCATTATGTCAGCAATTAATTCAGGAGATACATATTAGATAATCTGGATCTTTGTTAGATGCTTTACCCATCTCAACTCATTTAATCCTTAAAACAACCTCACGGGGGTAGGAAGTTTTGTCACCCCACACCCACACATACCAGCAATGGTCAGGCAGCACAGGCACACCCCAGCCCTGAGCACCTACTCATTCAAATGTGGGCCCACCTCCCCGGAGAACTACCCTAAAAACACCATAAGAAGTAATTCCAATAACAAAACACTGTACAGTTGTTGTTTCTATAAGCCCTCGTAAGAGCAAACCCCTGCACACAAATGTTCCACCCATCCACAAACGCGCGATGGGAATAGTTGGCAGCATCCCCAGTGTTCGTCCCGCTCCTGAAGGATGCCGCATTTCACAGCTGCATGGTTGCAGTGGGATGATGAACCATGAAGAGGAGGGTGTCCAGGGGTCCCTTCCCTTGCTGGCTTCACCACATCACCCCCAACAAGGGGAGGCTTGGGTTTGCCGGGATAGACTCCTTCCCTCCACCATAGGTGAAGGGGATGCTGTGGAAGGCAGAGCAGAGAGAAAAGGAAACAAGATCCTGTTGGCGTCACTGAGTCACTTGGATCAACCCAACCCTGAAACTCACCCCACCTTTGGACTTTCCAGTTTCAGGAGCCAAAACCTCCCCTCATTGTTTAGACCAGTTTGAATTGGGTTTTCTATTACCTGTGACTGTAAACGTACTCCTCTGGTACAAAGGCGAGGCCCATCTGCTCTTGGCACGCTCCTACAACCCATGGCGTGACCGTGAAAATGCACTGTGGATCAGTATATTAAGTAACATTTATAAACTGCTATGTAAAATGATTCCAGGTGTGTGATGACCTGAGTATGTGCATCGATGTTTTCAGGAAGGATTTCTAATAGTAGTTACCTCTGGGGAACAGAAGACATACTTTCACTTTTCATTTTACATTCTATGTTTCGATTTTTATTTAAGCATACTTCTTTAAGACTAGTTTAAAAGTTGTTTGAGGTGACAAAATTATGGTCCAAGGTGATAATTTATTCTGGTAGTTTTTTGTAATTTTATTTTTTGAGATGGAGTCTCCTATCACCCAGGCTGGAGTGCAGTGGTTTGATCTTTGCTCACTGCAACCTCCGCCTCCCAGGTTCCAGCGATTCTCCTGCCTCAGCCTCCCAAGCAGCTGGAACTACAGGCATGCACCATCATGCCCAGTTAATTTTTGTATTTTTAATAGAGCTGGGGTATCACCATGTTGGCTAGGCTGGTCTTGAATTCCTGGCCTCAAGGGATCCGCCTACCTTGGCCTGCAAAGTGCTGGGATTACAGGCATGAGCCACTGCACCTGGCCAGTTCTGATAGTTACTACCATGCACTGGAAGCCCCAGCAGGAATGTAAGATGCAGAGCACAAAAAGAAAGCTGAGTGAAGAAAGAACTGTTTCAGACCCTTGTAAGGAATACTCATGTCCTCCTTCCCAAAGCTGGGCTCACTGAAGTTGGCAATTTCATCAAAACAATATCCACTTATGTACCCTTAACTTTTTCTTCCAAAGTTACACAGTAGCCCTAATTCTACAATGCCCACTTCATGTTTTCCTGAGGCACCCTGGAGACGCCTAAAGCATCTCCATGAGAATGGAGAATGAACGTGCCTTTAATGCAGCCTTGAACATGAATGGCCAAGCCTTGCCAACTTGATAAGGAGCTAAAAAGGCTCTAAAGGTGTATCTAGATGAATGAGAACAGGGCTGCAGGTGGTCACCTGCCCTGGAAGGCCGAGCAGCATCCTACCAGGCACGACAGACACAAGCACAGGGAGGTGTCCCTACCAAGCTCCATCATGGGGGACAGGTTCCCATAGCCCCAAACACACAATCTAAAAACCCTCTGGTTCTGTGGACACCCCGTTGACCCTAGAGCTGGAAATGCCCACCCCTGAAAGTCATTCAGCACTCCACCACCCACCCCCACCCAGTACAGCTGAAAGCTTTGAACCAGTGGGCGACAGGCTGATGCACCTGATACCTGGGCAGAGACCTTCCCATAACAGCAGGATGCCTTAGGTGCCAGGACCACTGCAATCTCCCTCTTTCTCTGCAGTCTATATTCCTCTGAGACTGCTGGCTGAGAAACCAGCAGGTGGGATCCCTGAGACTGAGACCCTCTGTGCTCTGCTGGGACCAACACTGTAGCCATCTACACTCACATGCATGCCCATCACCTCCCCAGTGGCCGCTGCATGGAATCTCCTGGAGAAATTCTATGTTCCAGGAAGGTTCTGTATCCATCAGTTTTCATTGTTATTCATGGAGAAACTGAGTGCCAGGCTTCCTGTGGACCATGCAGATGGGTTTTTCTGCCCAGCCCACAGCCCTGCCCTGTGGGAAGTGGGATTCCCTGGAGGCCAGTAAGGACAGCTGCAGTGGAGTCCTGAGCAGACAGACGGGAGAGGTCAGAGAACTGGCAAGCCTGGGCCTCTGAAGCAGAGGACTTTCAGGAGGTGCGGTGTCCGGTGCTACAGAGGCCAAAGGAAGGTCTGGGTTGACAGCTGGGATAGGCAGCTTTCAGCTACATGCGGCGTGATGGGTGGTGGAAAGGAGGGGCACAAGCAACCCAGATAAGAAGCTGCCTGGGAAAGAAAAGGAGGCAGCCACAGGGCCACAGCAAGTTTTTAGGGTGGGGAAAGGCAGGCTAGTGACAGGAATAGGGGACGGGAAAAATAACAAGATCCTGAAAGGGGGTGGACCGGGATCGGGGAGGGGGTACAGGAAGGACCCCAAGACTTTAAAGTGAGTATGTGCATGGTGGGGTGAGGAGAGGGTACAGATGCCACAGCAGGCCTCCAACCAGGGAAGGTGGGGATTCAGGGCAGGCCAGTGCTGGGTGGGGAGCGCACAGGAGGCCTTCCCTGTGCCTCTGTGCGGACAGCCCATGCTGGGTGGAGACTGCCACATGCCCAGCTCTCATCCTTGCTTTCTTTCCATTCCTCATCCAATTATTCATGACATGGCTGAAAATGGCCAAAGACAAACCCAACTCTACAGAAGTCACACTTACACTTCATCCTGAACTAGGTCTACAGAAACAGAAGGGTCAGGCCTGCAGGAGCCTTCCAGGAGGTTTTAGCGCCAATGCACTAGCAGGCAGGGTCTGCGGCCACCCACATCCCCGTGGGAGGCTGGGCCAGAGGCACCTAGTGAAGAGGGCACTGTCACCAACCCCCTTCGCAGACAGGCCAGCATGCCCAGGACACACACAGCTCATGCGGTGGCAGTGCCCAGATTTCAACTCTGTGTCGCAATTTGACTCGGCATCCCCAAGCTCTTTTGCTTGGATCAATAAATAGTATCACCCAGGGTAGACAGAAATAGCCTAAAATAATGTTTCCTCTAGACCTACGGAGTTGAAGTTTCTCCAGCTCACACAGCTGGGGACAGACCACAAGCCAAGTTGTGCTGGCTGCAGCCTGCACACAAGGGATAACTGAAAGTGCTGCTGTACAGCATCTTAAAAAAAAAAAAATCACTCAATAAAATGTAAGTCAGATTGTGCTATTGACAAACCGCCTTTACTATTTACCCTTCTGTAAGGTCTACATACCCTCTCCCTTGGATCCTCTGGCAGCTGCGTTCACCACTGAGATGCATAGCAGCATCTTAATAATGACCCCAAACAAAAACGACCAAAACAACAGCATTAATATAAAGATATATTCCATAAAAGAGTTTGGCAGTCAAAGAGAAGCATCACACTTCCTAAAAACACAAGCATTCTTCTTCTCCTAGTCTACAGAAGATTGCAAAAAAAAAGAAAAGAAAAAAAAAAAAGATGACGACATCATCATCAACAGCCACTGGTAAACACCACACCAGAATGTACACTCCAGCAAGTAACTGAAGGTTGCACTCAATCCCTGAACGACGGGGAGAGAAGTGGTATGAGTTATGGCAAAGCGTTAGAAAGCAGCCCAGCTGGACAAATGTCCCAGCTATCCCCAGGGGAGTTACTCAATATTTAAGAAGACTTCATCTCCAAGAGCAGACCCCAGAACAGCCCTAACAGGAAGAGTGGACCACTCACCACTGATATCCTATGGGGGGGCGGGCACCACTTAAGTCAGAAACAAAACGCCAGAGCTTCTGAGCAGCTGCAGCCTGGGGTCATGGCTTGGCCCTGGGCCTGGTTGCAGAACGGCTGTCCGGAGAGAGCCAAATGGCAAGCCGGCCAGCCTGGGTACGCAGCCGAAAGAGGAACCCTGGCCAACAGTTTCGGGCTGGCCACTTTGGAATAAGCCTCCCAGGGCTTGCAGTGCGGAGGTTCAGGATTCAAGTTCTGGCTGACAATTTCAGTAGCACCAAGGACAGAAGACAGTGAGGCCACACTGGGGAGTGGGCGAGTGCTTGTATGTGGGATGCATGGAGGGAGGCTGCAGTATATGGAACAGAAGGAGAGGCTGTTATGGGCTGGTTCTTAAGACATTCAAAGGGACTCAAAGGGTCGGCTCCAGCCATGGACACCATGTAAGGCTGCTCAAAGAAGAATGCTGGAGGAGAGGAAGAGGAAGTGAAATGGTGTGAGAACATTCTTACCCCTATAAATAAACTATTTACACACTTTAAGAAAAGGAGAGCCGGCTCTCAGTGAAGAACCATGTCCACTGTCCCACCAGCGCCATCAGGGCTTAATGCTGTCAAGACCAGAGGCAGTTCTGGCGTGGGGAGAACAGCTGGCAGACACGGGGGGGCAGTGGACAAGGCACTCCCGTGGCTCCAGTCCACGCACTGGCTCAGGCTTACTTCACTTGAACATGGCTGAGGATCCTGCAAACAACCCCTGATGTGTGCATGCCCCCGCAGACCACAATGGCACTCAGAGACCCAGCGGGGCCCTGTCTGCCTCCCCAGTTACAGGCAGGTCCCTGTGCTGCTTGGCTTGATGGAGAGAAATGCCCTGTCCATGTCTTTGGGTCCCTCTACCCATGGCCCACCCACAGACGTGGATGACCCAAAGCAGATGTTTGGACGCCAGTGGAAAGGGGGCCAGAGTGTCCTGAAGACGTATTTGAGCTGCAGGGGGACTGAGTCAAGCCCTCCTGGCAGCCACAGGAGCCCTCTCTGTCCTTCAGAGTCACCACTCCCACATAGCCACATTCTGTCCCTGGGTAAACCCCAGCAGGGATGCAATCACAAGTTTGGGCAGGTAACAAGGGGACCCCTTGGTCTTCAGCACCAGCAAGCAGAAACAGAGAGGTCATGTCACGCTGATGCTAAAGGTGGGGTGCTGGCTCCAGGGGTGTCGGCTCCTCTCCCTTAGGGCGTAGGGCTGACGGCAAAGAAAGGCTCTGGCCTCCCAGCGTGGCTCAGCTCGGCTCCCTCAACTCCACTCTTCAGAAGTGATGGCCGGCCTTCACCGCCTCGATGTCTGATATCAGGGTCCTCGCCAGGAAGATGCCAAATATCTGAAACCAACACCAGCAGAGTCAGCAGCCATCGCTGGGGCCCAAAGGCAGAGGGCAGGGAGTGGAGGGTGCTGCTGGGGGCTCCCACTGCACGCCTCTCCTCGCCCCACCACTGCAACTGAGGGTAAAGAGACGGTACCACAAGCAAGCAGCACAGCACAGCTGCCCCTCCCGCCAAAAGGGGATCCTGGGGTCTAGTTTGTTACATCCCCAGAGCCTATAAGAGGCAAACCACAGGCACCACAAGCAAAACAGTCACTCTGCCCTGCCTCCAACATGATTAAGTGCGTCACACACCATGGGGCAGGACACGCCTGTCCCTGGGTTAAACCAAAAATAACAGGGTCACCCTGACTGGTTCTGATTCCCAAAATAATACAGCTTAAATGTTTCCCATAAACATCTATTCCATAATAAAACCAAGGCCATCCCCAATTTTGGCTGTGCCAATTTCTGAAGATCCATCCCACCCTTGGTGAGCAGGGAGTGGGGAGTGAGAGGAGATGTTCTTTTAACGTGAACAGACGAACATGAACTTGGTGACCTCTGGAAATGGCTTTTTTCCCCTTTAAATTTTTGTGTGATTCTAATTTAACTAGTCAGTCCTTCTGAAGTCTGATTCTTCCCTTGCCCATTTTGCAAATAACTTGTTTCTTTCCTTTTCCAGTTGGTTTTCCTCTTAGTCTTTCTTGAAGGAAGAAGGTATGTGTGGGTGGCTGGTGGCCCTGGGTCCACCTCAGTCACCCTCTTCAAGGCAAGGACAGAGACAAACATTTTCTACATGGTGTATTTTCCACACAAGAACTGCATGAGTGGACCCAAAAGCTGCAGCTTCTTAATACAAGCCTTGAACAGCAGTGGAAAGACTCCTGGTTTCTCTGATCACTGCTCAACTTTCTCTGCCAGTTCTTCTCCTGGCCATCACCAACCAGCCCAGTCACCCCAGGTCTCACTGCCTGCTTGGCCACCAACATTCTCCCATGTGTGAAACCTGGTTCAAATGAACAAGCACAGCCTGGGAGGGCAAAGGATGCCATAAACGGCAGCAAGCCTCAGAGGATGTCTCATGGACAGGGAAGATGCCTGACAGCTCCAGCCCAAGAGCCAGAGACAGGAGGAGAGGTCCTGGGGCGAGTGCAAACATGAGCCTCAGGCCACCCTCAGGCCCCAGCTGACCAAGAGTTTTGCCTCCCTGTCTGCAGTGCTTGATGGCCTACCCCAAGCACACTCCTCACCCACCTTCACACAGGCAGTGACCCTTCTGCAGCCCATCAGGCCCTCAGGAGAGAGCAACCAACAGGATCTGTGCAGGGCCACAAGCCTCTCCCAGCCTGCCCCTGCCCAGAGGGGTCCCCTGTAGGTAGCATTTATGAAAGCCAGCATTCTCCTCCCCAATATGCTCATACACATACACTCTCAGCCTTGGACATCCAATGGAATCCCTTTTTTCCTTCTGGAAGGTTCCTTAATACCACACCCATGTACTCTATATTAAGGGCCCAATCTTCTCAAATGAAAAAAAGCTGCCTGCCAATCCTACAGGCTCCTAGGACACACCTGCAGCAGCGAGATGGCAATGAAGATGCCGGCCACAATGTAAATGTTCCGCGGGAGCCAGCTCTCCAGCGCCTGGATGCAGCCCTTCGTGAAGATGGACTCGTCCCATTTGCTCTTCAGCTGCAGAAAAACATCACAGGGGCCTGAGCCTTTGGCAAGCACGATATTCCCACCCCGGTCCCCTAGACAGCCCTGGCAGGGAGCAGGGCAAAGCAGGGTGGGAACGAGGGATCCTAAAGGCAGGCACAGAGGACTCTCCAGGAGACACTATCCAGCTCGTCTCAGCCTCTGCCCTTGCTGGACACCTTGTGATCATACCACCTGTCTGACCAAAGGCTCCCTGGCTGTTTCCCTTCAGGTCTCCAGAGATTTAAAGACCAACTTTCTCAAGATACCTTTCCCCAACATCCACATCTGGAGAAAGAGAGGGGGCTTGAAGGCTTGGAGGAAGATGTGTCTTTAAAGGGAAACCTAAAAAAGGGGGTCCAGAGTTTCCTGAGAAGGGAGGGAAGGAAGGTGACTTCTTGGAGTAGACATCCCACTGGTAAGCTCAGCTCCAGGCAATAGAGCCAGCAGGCAACTCACCAGCTGACCAGCTCCCTCCAGTGCCAAACCCAGTGGGGCATCAGTAACCGCCCAGCACACACCCAGCCCTGCCCACCCCACTCACAGTGATTGGCCCCAGCCCCCTGACCTATCAACCTCCTCCATGGCAACACGATGGTCCATTAATTCACTTTAGAGGTGTTAGGGGCTAAAAATCGTGTCCTCAAAATTCATATGCTGAAGTCCTAACCCCCAAGACCTCAGAACATAATTGTATTTGGAGACAGGCTTTTACAGAGGTAATTAAGCTAAAATGAAGCCATCAGGGTGGCCCCTAATCCATTATGGCAAGCATCCTGTTAAGAAGAGGAGATCAGGATACAGACATGCACAGAGGGGAGCCACGTGAGGACACAGGAGACAGCCACCGGCAGCAAGGAGAGAGGCCTGGGACAGACCTTTTTGTCACAGCCCTCTGAAGACACCCACCCCACCAGCACCTTGATCTTGGACTTCTAGCCTCCAAATTGTGAGAAAATAAATGTCTGCTGTGACCTAAATTTCCATCTGTGGTATGTTGACAGCAGCCTTAGCAAATTAATATAAGTGGCAAAAAAATTCATATCTGTATCAACACTGACGTTGATACAGGTTCTTGTCTTAGTCCATTGAGCCAACTATAACAAAATACTATAGATTAGGTGGCTTATAAACAACAGAAATTTCTTTCTCACAGTCCTGGGGGCTGGGAAGTTCAAGATCAGAGCACTGGTAAATTTGGAGTCTGATGAGGGCACACTTTCTGGTTCATGGACGGCAGCCTCTCACTGTGTCTTCACATAGTGAAGTGACAAATAAACTCTCTGAGCCTCTTTTATAAGGGCACTCATCCCACTCATAAGGACTCTGTCCTCCTGACCTAACCCCTCCCAAAGGCCTTACCTCTTTATACCAAACCCACACTGGGGTTTAAGTTCCAACACATAAATTTTGGGGAGAGGCAAACATTCAGCTTAGAGCAGCTTCTCCCTGTGAAATGCAGGTCCCTAAAGGAGGACAGTTCCCCAAGCTGTAGGGACACATCCCTCATATCCACGGCGAACAGGAGGGGTCTCTGCAGATACCTCAAGATTCCTCCCTTTTAGAATAGCAGTCATTCATATCACCAAAGACCACCAAAACAAGGACTGGAGTGCATCCAAGAGTGCACTCCCTACAGCCTAAAGGAAGTCCCAGAGGACAGGGCCTCGCCCCTGCCCCAGGCCTGCCTCCCTCCTTGTCACCACTGCCTCCACATGGAGGCCAAAGCAAGGCATATATGCTCCTGCAGCTGTCCCCTTAACAAGAGACACCTTCTGGGACTCAAGGAGCCTTCTAAAAATTCGGTCTTTGTCCCTCAAAACTTCATCCCACCTCTTCAAATGCAGCAAATCCCAGGTGTTGGGACTGCAGCTCACAAAGCTTAGAATCACTATTACTGCTCCCAGGAGTCCTGCTGCCAACCCAGGAAGCAGTGTGTGTGTGTGTGTGTGTGTGTGTGTCTGTGTGTGTCACTATGCCCGTGCTCAGCTTAGGTGGCATCAGGAGCTTCACTGCCCCTAGTTCTCCCACTTCAATTTGCACTTGCACTACATCAGGATGTTGAACCATAGGGAATAAAACTTAAAGAATTCTTAAAGTTGTATACTCTGGAGTGCTCACCTGAATCCTAACATCATATCCACACTGTGTGTTCACAACTTTTTGCTGCAAGAAAAGCAGAAAAATTAGTTACTTTTGGTGTCTCAAGAAGCTGGTGGTAAGAAGCTCTAGAAGAGTCACAACCAAACACTAGCAAACAATTGTGCAAATTCCATTACAGATCATGTCCTTCAATCACACTAGCAACTAATCCTTCGGGCCAGGACAGGGTGGCAACCTTTCTCTGTGAAGGGCTAGAGAGTGACTATTTCAGACACAAACTCAACTCTGCTTTTGTTGCATGACAGCAAGCACTGACAATATAAAACAAGCAGGAATGGCTGTATTTCAAGAAAACTTTATGGATACTGAAACTTGAATTTCATATAATATTCATGTACCACAAATAATCCTTCTTCTGATTTATTTCCAACCATTTAAAAACACCTGAAAGCATTCTTAGCTCACAGGTCATGGAAAAATAGCAGGCCAGATTTGGCCTGGGCGGGGGGGCCACAGTTTGCTAGGAGGTAGGACCTATATTTGGAGGTAAGAACTATACGTGCTAAAAGTAACACTTATGAGACTGGTACGTTTCACAGTCACAGTGGAGACCTCAGAAGATCTGTGCAGCTTCAGCATATCTGAGCCCCTCCTGGGCTGCAGAACTTGCCTATATAAGAGTGGTGATGCTCTGCCCTTTAAGAGCCCGTAACCCAGTACCTGGCTTTACGGAACTGTACCGAGAGCTGGTAACAGGCCCAGTTCTGCTCAGGCTCAGTTCAGGCAAAATTCAGAGCTCCTTCACAGGTCACCCCAAGAGCCCAGCTTCTGGAACCCAAGAACGCTGGCCTTGGATTAGGAATGAAAATAGGTAAAGAAAGGACAGGACAGGTGCAGGGGCCCACACCTGTAATCCCAGCACTTTGGGAGGCTGAGATGGGCAGATCACTTTGCACCCAGGAGCGCAAGACCAGCCTGGGCAACATGGTGAAACCCCATCTACAAAAAATACAAAAGTTATACAGGTGTGGTGGCTCAAGCCTGTGGTCCCAGCTACTCGGGAGGCTGAGGCTGGAGAACTGCTTGAGCCCGGGGCAGCAGTGGTTGCACAATGAGCTGAGATCGCACCACTGTACTCCAGCCTAAGCAACAGAGTGAGCCCCTGTCTCCAAAAAAAAAAAAAACAGAAAACAACTAGGCGGGTGTGGTGGTGTACATCTGTAATCCCAGCTACTCGGGAGGCTGAGGCCAGAGAATTGCTTGAGCCCAGGGAAGCAGTAGTTATACAGAGAGCTGAGATCACGCCACTGTACTCCAGCCTAAGCGACAGAATTGAGACCTTGTCTCAAAGAAAAAAAAAAAATCCCACAAAAAAACCAAAAACAGAAAATAATTAGCTGGGTGTGGTGACATGCATCTGTAATCCCAGCTACCCTGGAGGCTGAGGCAGGAGAATCATTTGAACCTGGGAGGCGGAGGTTGCAGTAAGCCGAGATCGCTTCACTGCGATCCAGCCTGGGTGATACAGCAAGACCCTGTCACGAAAAAAAAAAAAAAAAAAAGAATTCTCCACTACTGCTCCCCAGTTAATGATGTGTGCCCACAGCTACTGTGTGCTGTTGAGTTCTAGGCATTTGCTCCAGAAAAAGAACAGTGAAGATGGCTAAGCAGGCCTTATTTCCTCATAGCTCTTGGCCAGCTACCCCGAGTGAGAGCCCTCCAGGTAGGAATAATACTGTTTTTCTCCTGCCTCACCCAGAACACCAAGGCCAAGGTGGGTCACACAAGCATTGTTCCTAGAACAGACAAGTACTGGATTTCTGAGCTGCAGCAGCCCTGAGGAGGGCATGGAGAGAGTACACCTACTCCTCCAACCTGCTTGAGAGAATATCCCAGAGCACAAGAGTCAGGAAAGCTGTGGGCTTCAAGAAGGGCCAGCCCAAGTCAACTCACCGCAGGATCCGGTACGCAGCAGGAGAAGGGAACCCCACACTTCTCTCGGCTGTAGCTGGCGCCACTGCAGTTGAAGTAGACATTAAGGTCCCAGTCTTCAGGGCCATACGCGCCACAGCACTGGTTCTGCAACCACAGAAGCCAGAACTGTCAAAGTCTCCAAGACAGGCCCATGGCTGCCCAGCACAGGGCAGCATTCTTGGTGAGGTCAAGCTAAGTCTGCTGGCATCTACCATTCAGAGAAATCAAGGCCCACTCAGCTACCTCCCATGTGCAAAGATGCTAAGCTGGCAACCCAGGCAGCCCTTTGAGAAGAAAATAGCTGGGTGTGGTAGCTCAGGCCTGTAATCTCAGCCACTCAGGAGGTGGCGGGATGATTTGATCCCAGAAGCTGGAAACAAGTCTGGGCAACACAACAAGACACCCCTACCCCCAATCAGAAACAAAGGAAAGAAAACAGAGAGAGAAAAAAGGAGAAAGAGAAAGCAAGAGGGAGGAAGGGAGGGGTGGGAGGGAGTGGCGGGGGGGGGAGAGAGAGAGAGAAGAGAGAGAGAGAAAGAAAGAAAAGAAAAGAAAAGAAAGAGAGAGAGAAAGGAAGAAGAAAAAGGAAGGGAGGAAGGAAGGGGAGGGGGATGAGAGGAGGGTAAGAGAACCTGCCCTTTTGATGTGTTAAAGAAAATAATAAAAACAAATAAATAAAAACAAAATGGAAATGGAAGTGAAGGTATCTCTGGGCCCACGGTGCCTTCTCAATCTAACGCAACATGGCTGGCTCAGTGGAGCTCCCTGGCCCCACTGCTGGGCACAACAAACCCAGCTCTCGCCCTCCTCAGCAGGGAGCTTGCCCTTCTTCCCAGTTTCCTCAAAGGAGACTCCTCCTTCCAGTCTTCTCAAAGGAGAGGAGAGTGGCCTCCTCTCCCTGCAGGCCCACTCGGCACCTTGGCCTGGTCCTCTTCTCACCACAAGAGAACACCTCCTAGTGTGCAGTGTTCTTCCTCCCTAAGAAACTCACAAGTGAATTCCCCTTTTCACCTTTTTACAAAAAACAGCTGGCCGGGCATGGTGGCTCATGCCTGTAATCCCAGCACTTTGGGAGGCTGAGGCAGGCCAATCACAAGGTCAGGAGTTCAAGACCACCCTAACCAACATGGCAAAACCCTGTCTCTCCTAAAAATAAAAAAACTAGCCAGGCATGGTGGCACATGCCTGTAATCCCAGCTACTCAGGAAGCTGGGGCAGGAGAATCCTTGAACTTGGAAGATGGAGGTTGCAGTGAGCCGAGATCGCACCACTGCACTCCAGCCTGGGCGACAGAGCAAGACTTAGCCACAAAAAAAAAAAAAGAAAGAAAAAGAAAAATGACAACAGTGATTTCTGGTTTTTTATTTTGTTTACCTCTCAGGTAAATCATCTCCCCCCACACCTCTACTGTTCCACTTGCTTTAGTGATTACCTGAAATTTCACCCCAAGGAAGCTCTGTAATTTACTGAATCCCTCCTCTGGGAAGTTTCATTTTTAAAAGAAAAAGAAGTCAGTGGAGAAAACTACTATGTCTTTAAGACAGTGCAGGTCCGAACCACAACCTAAGCAGGCTGAGACCAGCAAGCCAAGGCTATGTGAAATGAAGAGGACGATGGCACTGAACAGAAAAGAAAGGAGAGGCATCCAAACAGGGCTGGGATTTGGTGACTTTCACAGACTAACACACATTAGTAATAACAATACAGGCAGAATCTTTAGTCCCATAGATGGGTTTTGCTGGATCCCGTAACACATGAAATCAAGGTGAACAAATTTTGGTTAATAATGAGAGTGAATCATAGATTTTTAATGCTTTCTAAGTTATTTTCTTCTCCAAACCAAAGTGTTCCATATGAAAAGTTCGTAAAGAAGCTGGGCTTTCTGGCAGCACAAAGATCAAACAAGAGCCTTGCACTGCACAGGCTGACGTGGCCAGGGAGGGGGTTCCTCCCTGGGGGGCTGGGACAGCTATGGTCCAAGCCTCCAGGTGCAGCCACACATGAGAAGAATAAGGGGGATGGGGACCAGATGGAGCAAAGCCACAGCCTGGGACTGCTTAGATAAAACCCTGGGGACATATTCCAGGGAGGTCACATTCCACTAGATCTGACAAAGCTTCCTCCAGGCAGCCCTGCCTTCTCAAACAGGAAGGGGAAAAGGTCCCAGGGAGGAAGAGGGCAGGAATAGCCTCAGACGGTGAGTCACAAGCCTAGGCGAAGGAGTTATGCCTCACGGTATGCAGCGCCTAAGGAGGACAGCAGCCCAAGTGGCTATTGGGCAGGACTGAAAAGATCTAGGTCCCAAAGAGGAGGGCAGACATGTTGGGGTGGGTGGCCTTGCTGGACTTGCCTGCCCAATCCCAATGGGAAAGGGTTGGCCTGCTGGACAACCGCAAGCCGGCAAAGTGGAACAAACCAGAGGCAAGGTGGCCTGTTCCATGGCCTCCCTGCTGTCTGCCAAACTGCAGGCAGAAAATCCACAGAGGAGAGAAGGCCTGGTGCCCCTGCTAGCCTCAGCTCCGGGCACATAGCAGGCCACAGGGAGGCGTATGCTCTATCAGAGGCCCACTGGGAGGTGCTTACAGCTTTCTGAAGGGAGTCGATGAGGTTCTGCAGGTCGATGTCATCCCGGTAGGACTTGATGTTGCTCTCGAAGAACTCCCGGAACCGGTCCCTCACCCAGTCCTGGAATAGGAAGGCCAGAACAGCCACAGCCAGCTCCAGGAAGAAGATGAGCACGATGGTGCCACAGAACTGTAGGGGATGGGGACGGGAGCAGTAGTCACCACCCCATCAACCTGGCCCCCCCACCACATATAACCCCACCTGACCCAGAACCACTGTAGCAGAGCACGGGCTCTGCACCTGAGTCTCACATCGGAGTCCTGAGAATCCCACATGGTTAGCTGGGTGGCTCTAGGCAACTTTGCTTCATCTGTAAAGAGGGGCTATTTGTCCCTACCCACATCACTACACTGCTGGTAACAGTCAAATGACTGAAAAAATGTGAAAAAGCTTCAGGCCAATGTGTCAATTGTTTCCTATGAAGCAGCCCTCCTCCCTGGACAAGGAGGATACCCTATTACAGGGTGGCTGTCTACCTGGATCCCCCAGAGTGGCATCCTGGGGTGTCGGCTCCTTTAGCACAGATTCTGTGCCCCAGAAACTATGTGACAACTCCTTCCCCTCACACAACCATCGAGTACGTAGGTATCTGTCACCTCACTTTAGGGATGAGAAAACTATGACTATGTCACTAGGTACATAGCTTGCCTGAGGTCACATAGTTCAGGCAGGCCATATGAGTTCCCTGGCAGAGCTCTTTACAATTCTGGAAGTGCCAGCCAGTGTTATCTGTACCAACTCTGCATGAAAGTATATGATCGTCAGCTTCATAAAGACCCCTCCAGAAGCTCGGCTGCCCTAGGCCACTAGCAGTGGTGGCATTCTACAAGGGCCCAGTGCTGCCACAGGTCCACATCCCATCAGGGCAGACTCCTAGCCTGCAGTCTGTGCTCTCACAGCCATTATCATTGGTCATACAACACACTAAGCAGTTTTGCCATAACCGGCAAATCTGGAGTAATCTTTCAAAGCAAGAAAAAGGAAACACACATACACACAGACACGCACACAAGGCCTGGCAAAATGTAATCTCTGTTCACAGAAAAGCAACATGCTAAACATCAAAGAAAAAAATGGGAAAAAACCCCATAGCTTTGCTTTAAAATTCAGACCACGAAAGAGAACTCTTGATCTAATCAAATCAACAAACAATACTGCAAAATATGATAATGGGTTTCCCCCACCAGGTGTTATTTAACTGGATACAACTAAAAATGAATTTATATCTAAATATAAAACTAAACTCTTAGTAATCTGCAGTTCTGCCAGGAAATTTGGGATTCTGCCTTGTACATCCAACAGACTCACACATCCTTAGAGGAGGGAAATGATTTTTTAAGGTTATTTACAACATCTTTTGATCTTAGGAAGGGCAAAGGAGAGTAGCAGACAAACAATTCTTTTAGAGCTTCTGAAGGAAGATAAAACGCAAAGGAGCAGGGAGTAGAGCTGGCCTACAGGCAGTTGACTCCTCCCACCAAGGGCTAAAACCCAGAGGATACCTAATTCTCCTGGGGTGAGGAACCAGCTTCTCTAGACAGCAGGGTACAAAAGGGCTGCCTCCTGCTCCCTGCGGGGCCTGGGGGAGGCTTCTAAGAGTTGCCCCCTGCTCTGGCCAGGTAACATATAATCCTGCCCAGCAGAACCTGTGCCCCCCTCCATCCTATCCCACTCTTGTCTCTGTGGCCACTCACAAAGTTGAGCAGGCAGATATTCTCCCGCAGAGCCCCCACGCAGCCGGCAAACCCCAGGGTGAACATCACCACGCCCACCATCAGGACCAGCACCACGGGGTCGATTCCATGCATCCGGGTCACTTTGGTGAGGTCGGACAGCACACCCTGAAAGAGACAGAGAAAGCAGGGCAGCATCGGCCGGGAAAGGGAATCGAGGATGCCACCCTGGGGGGTGCAGGTGGAACGGAAAACAGGGACTTGCCTTCCCAGGCTCAGTCCTCTTGTTAACAGCCAGGCCAGAGTCTCATGCCCTCAGGGACCCCTCTGACCAGCAGATTCTTGTGCATCTCAGGTCCCAGAAAGTATTCGTGGCCTCCACCTAGGCTGTGAGTTCCTCCCAGGCAGCCACCAGGCTTCTTCCATAGCCTGCAGGGTGCCTATTCCAGGCCTGGAGGGAAACAGCCCTGTGGCCTGCGGTCAAACTGGTCACCCAGGTGGCTAACCTTGTTAGTGCCCCAATTTGGCACCTAATTAATTAATCAGGAACACTACTCTCCTGAGATGAAAACAGATTCAATATGAACACTCTTGGGGAAAACACGCCCAGGGGCAGGCCAAAGCAGCACTGCCCATAAGTTTCTATATTGACAGAGGTGTTTTAGACTATGCCCCCACTGTCTGGCTATAGGTTTCATGGAGCACTTGAATGTGGCTAGTGAGACAGAAGGGCTGAATTTTGTTTTATATTCAATTTCAATTTAAACACAAACCATCACACAATGGGGAGAACAGTTCTGTAGGGTTTGTAAAATGCCAAGGGGGAAGCTGAGCCCTGGAGACTGAGTCATGTAGCATGTTTGCAATTCTGTTTTTAGATTACAGTTGAACTCTCCTCCTCTTTGTTCCCGCTAGGTAAGGAACTAGGAGAGACCACAGCCCCCCTTCCAGTCACTGATCTCTGCTATAGTTTAACTGCTTCCTTCATTGTTCTTTACTGACTCAGATCAGATATCATCTAAGACCAGGGACAATTATATCTTCAGCATGGAATGTTATACATACCTTTCCTGAAAGCTGCCTCAACTAATCAGAACATTATGACTATGCATTAAGATGTACATAGGTGTCTGGGGGTGGTGGCTTACGTCTGTAATCCCAGTACTTTGGAAGGCTGGGGCGGGCAGATCACTTGAGACCAGGAGTTCAAGACCTGCCTGGCCAACATGGCAAAACCCCATCTCTACTAAAAAATACAAAAATTTGCCGGGTGTCATGGCACATGCCTGTAATCCCAACTATTCAGGAAGGGGAGGCATGAAAATCTCTTGAACCCAGACGTGGAGGTTGTAATGGGCCAAGATCAAGCCACTGTGCTCCAGCCTGGGAAACAGAGGCTCTGTCTGGCTTTGTCCAGATAAATGATCCCAAGCATCTACACTTTGAACAGGAAGGCTGACTTCCATTCTTTGGAATTTGTGCTTCTTGGGTAGGCCTGTTCTCAACATGTGTGCCTGAATAAAGTCTCTCTAAACTAGGTTCTGGCTTTTTTAACTATTTTAGATGGACAGATTCAAAGGAATTGTAGTAGCCAGCTCCACACTTAGGGCCACACCCGGTCAAGTGGCTGCAGTCCCAGGGGCAGCCACACGGTGGCGGTGTGAGACAGATTGAATCTGCTTCTGGGTCACTGGGGCAAAAGGACGTCGTACTCCAGCTCTTGCCCTTTAGGGGTTCACAGGCCACTTTGAAGGTGCCCAAACTTGAAGGTGAGCCTTATCCATACCCAAGAGCATGGCAGGAAAGCCTGTAGATCTTGGTTCTCCTGCCTCTTCTTTCTGGAAGCAAAGGGAAGTTCCACTGAAGGAAGAAGGCCCGGGCCCAAGATGCTAGAAGAAGCTTTAGTCCGGGCTCTTTCTCGCCAGGCCTGCTCTACCTTACTGCTTTCCTACCCTCTTCCCTCCCTAGCTCTTTTCAGCGCTTATCACCTCCCCAGCACCCATGCCACAGGGCAACAAGTAGCAGCACAGCCCCACCCTGCCCACTGTAGTTTCATCCCCTTCCTAGAGTTGCAACTGCCCCATGTGCTTCCACACAGTAGGAGCCAGGTCTCCCCTCCTCCCCTCTCCTCCTTAGGCTGGGCAAGGAGGCACAGAGGTGCTTAAAGAATCACCCCTGCCCCACAGGGCACCCTGACGGCACGTAATCCAGCCCTGCTCCCTGCTCTCTCTCATCCAAGAGGATAAGGGCCTCAACAATAAGCATGCCTGTGTTCAGGGACCTGGGTTGCCCCATGCCTGCCCTGGGCACAGCTGCAGGCAAGAGCTGAGCTCTCTCCATCCAGAGATCAAAACCAAAACAGCCCAGCTCCTGCCTCCAGCAGCCAACCTTATCATGGGGGCAGAGTAGGCAGGTGCTGCATCTGTAAAGATTAACTACTACACACCTTGACACTGCATGAGAAATGCTTGTCAGGGAACAGACTGGAGGAGGGGAAAATGATGTACAGTGAATCTGGTTTTGGCTGCCTGAAGCTCAGCGTCCTGTGACAGTTATACCTACCTTTTCGCTCCATGCCCACAGCCCAACTCCGAGGAAGACAACTCCAGCCAACTAAGCGGGGCAGAGGAAAGAGAGAGGAAGTTAGGTCAGAAACTAGCACTGTGACCATGCTTCATAGAGCGAAGTCCACATTGCCAGGCAGGGCATGCTCTAGCTCACATCCCACACGGCCCCTTGGGCCCTGCAGATGACAGGGGCCGGCAATGCCAGAATAAAGGGGCATTGAGGTTCTTCAGATAACCTGAACCCACCTTCCTGAATGTCTGGACAAACTCCATCAACCTCAGATGACCCCATGACCCACGGAGGGGAACAGGAAAAGATCCCAGAGCAGACTCCACCCTGGAGAGACTATGGGTCACAGACATCAGGCTGTGCCCTGTTTCTTCCCCTTTCTGCAACCCTGACTCTTATCAGTGTACTATCTGGTGTATAAGAAGACATCACCCCTTGTGAGGGCTGCCCCAGGTCCCCTCAGAGGTTCCCAAAGCAAGATCAGGCTGCACAGGGCCAGGTACCACCACAGGGTGAAGACAGAGGGAAGCAGAGACCAGCACCACCTCTGCCACACACGCCAGCTCTCCAGCCCTGGAGGTGGACACCAGGCACAGATAAGCAGCTACCCAGCGGCCCAGGCCATCCACTGGCCAGGGTTGAGCCTCCTCCCCGTGGTATCTATACTGAGTAGGGGGCGCACCTGTGCTCAGGATAGGCTGGGTTTTTAGCTAGAGAATGAAAACAGGCATGCTCTAAGCAATGAGCTCACCCCAGAAAAGAAGCACCCCCAACCCCAACCTCCCACCTGCAGGAGCCCACACCCCATGTGCACCACAACAGAAAGGGGCCCATCCAAATACATCACACAGGTTCCTGAACCAGGGAGGACTTTTCCATATAGAACAAAACACATTGTGGGCTCTGCTAATAAAGCTGCCTCCTGTTTTTCTATGAAGACTTTATACCACACTGGCATTTCACTGCCATTTATCAGCATCTCACGATAAATAACAGGACCACGTTTCTCTATGACTATCAGCTTTCCAGTGTGTTCTCAAGCCTTGAGACACTTCTGCCTACTTTACTCAATAACTAGCCTCAGGAATAGAATGGAAAGAAAAGGCTCAAGGGAAGCCCCAGGAATTCTCACCCAACCTGAAGGTGATCTGTGATCCAACCTCTTCTGGATCACAGATCACTTTCAGAAAATACACACATGCCCGGTATTTTGTATGAAATTTCAGAGGGTTCATAGCTTCCCACTGCTGGCTCCCACAGTGGTCTGTGAACAGTAAGTGAAGAAGCCTCACCAAGAACCAATCACTCCATTTACAAAAGCAGAGCACTGGGGCCCAGGGAGGGCCAAGACCAAAATGCCAGGCAGTGGGGAGAAAGGCTGAATCCCAAGTCTCAGTTCATTCATTCATTCCTCATTCATTCATTCAACAAATATTCATAGAGTGCATCCTGAGTGTCAGATACCGTGTCTCAAGTACTGGATAAAGCACCATGTGGGGCAGAGCTCCCTGGGCTCATTCCTGACCTTTTCCACCACACCACACCCATTTCCCGATTCTCGGTCCTCCCCTTAAACTGATCAGCTGGGAAGGGTTTTCTTGATGGAATGCATGACTGCTTCCTTTCTCTCTCCAGGTGTCTTACACTGGCATGCTGAGCTCCATCCCCACCCACCTTATTTAAGGTTCCCAGTGACCTGCCTCCTTCTTGCCAAAGCTGGAGGCCAAGACTTTTTTCTCATGGTATCTGGCTGGTCACTGGTCACAGCTGGTCATTCTTTCTTCCTCCAACTACTCCACTGACACACTCTGCTTTGGGGACCCCAAGCATATGCCCCTGGCTGCCTTCCTCCCTGCTCCTCCTCCTCCTTCAGACCCCTCTAGATGCTGGTAGGCCTCACTCACAGTCCTAGCTTCTTCACCCTGCCCTGAGCCCTCTAGATGATCTTGTAATTCACAAGGTTTAAATACCATCTATACACTGCCAACTGGCACACTCAGATCTCCAGTTGTGGCCATGCCCCGGGTCAAATACCCTAATTTGTTCTTCACTTGTTCTCTGAAGAGAGCTAACGATATTTCACTCTTACCTACTTCACTTGTTCTCTGAAGAGAGCTAACGGTATTTCACTCTTACCATGTCCCACTACACAGCCTTGGTCCCCCAACCCCAACCCAGCTCCCCACAACTCTTCTCCAACTCATTCGATGGCACCACCGTCCACCCAGCCAGTGTGAGAGAGAAAATCCAGACCCCAGGCTTGGTGTTTTCTTCCTCTTTTGCCCCACACTCCCCCAGGACTCTCTGCTGGTTCTGCCTCCAAATACACAGTGCATTTGACCAGCTTTCCTCCAGAGTCTCTGCTCCCACCTGCCCCGGCTCCACTCACTCGTCTGGATCCCACAGAATGCTTCTCATGGGTCCCCAAGCAACAAGACTGATCCTCAAAAATACAGAACCAGGAACTCCCCTCCTCGAAACTCTGCAGTGACTTCCCATGCAGACCTAGAATGAAATGCATGCCCTCTGTCATGGCCCCCAAGGCCTCTGCAGCCAGGCTTGGTGCACATCTCCCATGGCATCTCCTTCCCCCCTCCCTGCACCAGCGCCACTCCCTGGGCCACCCTGGCATTTCTGCTGTTTCTTGAAGTCATCAAACTCACCCCTGCCTCAGAGCCTGGACACTGTTCCCCCAGCCTGGAATGCTCTTCCTCCATATCCATTCCTGGCTCCTCCCTCACTACATTCAAGGCCTCCTTTTACTACTCTGCATGGAACTGCTCCCCATCCCCCACGTGTGACCTCCTCTTGATTTTCTTCGAAGCACTAATCCCAGATCCCCAGCTAAGCCATCCTGAGGACAGAGACGTTATCTGTTTTGTTCAGAGTGGCAGCCCAGTAACTTGGAGGACTTGGCCCCATAGTAGGCACAGGGCCCAATACCAGGACAGTGCTTGCCTGGGTCCTTCTAGCTACTACCCTCAGGCACATTTCTGGGTGTAATTCAATACAAAGGCATTCAGAGCAAATGTGGGCCAAGAAAAGCCCAGCCTGGCCCAGGTTCATGGTCAAGCTCTACATAGGGGCATTTGCCTCCGGTCAGAGCAAAACAAGCCCAGAGGCCAATGCCCCATCCAGCCTTCCCAACAGACATTCCAGCCCCTGCCTAACTGCTTCTCTTAACTGTGCACTCATCCCCTGGTGCCACATGAGACAGGAGAAAAGAGTCTGCCTTAAAAACACTCAACAAAACCACTGCTGGAACTCTCCTCTCTCCTCCCCACTGCACCTCACAGCTCACCCCTCCTCTCGCCTTGACTTCTATCATTTCCCACATTAATATCAGCCTCAGGCTGAGCACAGTGGCTCGCAGCAATTTGGGGGGGCTGAGTCAGGAGGATTGCTTGAGCCCAGGAGTTCAAGACCAGCGTGGGCAACACAGCAAGACCCCATCTAATTTAAAAAAATGTTTTTTTAAAAAAATTAGCTGGTATGGTGCCCATGTCTGTACTATCAGCTATCAGGAAGGCTGAGGTAGGAGGACTGCTTGAACTCGGGAGGTCGAGGCTGCAGTAAGCTGAGATTGCGCCACTACACCCCAGCCTAAATGGTGACAGAGTGAGACCAGGTCTCCCCAGCCCAAAAAAACCAGCCTCAGTTCCATCTATATTAATAAGTTCCTGTGAATTCATGCTGAGGTGCTGCTTTAATTGTTCTCCTAGATGACTAAATAGATACAATGGGAAGAGGTGACTGGTTTCAAAAAAGGAATTTTGCTCTGCACAAGTTCTCAAAAAAGACCCCTGATCTCAAGAGCAGTTCATATCTCCACCCTCAGGGGCCCGCTCCTGCTCACCTCTGTTCCAATCGCCCCTTCCCCAAACACAGGGCCACTTACCACTCTGCATATGGCCCACAGACCACATCCTCCCCAGCTTGCTGTTCTTCCCAAGGCCCCCCATCCCAGGAAAGCCCTGGCTGACTCTCTGTGGGCTGGGGAAGCCAGCTCCCCATTACTATGTGCAGTTCTCCTTCTCTCAGCTCTAGGAAAAAGAGCTTGGCTGGGTGTGGTGGCTCATTTCTGTAATCCCGTAACTTTGGAAGGCCAAGGCAGGTGGGATCACCTGAGGTCAGGAGTCTAAGCCCAGCCTGAGAAACCCCCAACATGGAGAAACCCCGTCTCTACTAAAAATACAAAATTAGTTGGGCATGGTGGTGCATGCCTGTAATGCCAGCTACTCGGGAGGCTGAGGCAGGAGAACTGCTTGAGCCCACGAGGCAGAGGTTGCAGTAAGCTAAGACTACACCAGTGCACTCCAGTCTAGACAACAAGAGCGAAACTCTGTCTCAAAATAAAAAAAGAATAAGGGTTTGTGTTGTTTTCCATTCTATTTTAAAGGAAGAACTAAAGTTAACTCACACCGGAAAGACAAGAACTTGGGGGTCACATGTCAGATCATGCGTTCAATGAACAGTGGCCCAGGGCAGTAGCTCTGAGCACCAACAATCCTGGTTTCAGAGACCAGGAGACTGAGGGAGGACCAGATAGAGTAAGTAACCTACCTGGGCGCTCACATAACAGTGCCATGAATGAACTGGGTCATTGGCCCACTTCACCCCAAAAGAACCCTTCCCTGGAACTCTGCAGCAGACAGTCCGTGGGGCCAGGCCGGGTAAGTCCTGGCTGCCAATCTTCTGGGAGTGAGGGTTCAGCTGAGTGCCCTTCTGCCTCAAGTGACCTTCTTTGTCTCCCTCTTATGACCTAACTGAATTACCTACTAAAGAACAGGGCCAGGCTCCGGCCAAGCTCAAGAGGAGACCAGCCAGTGTTCTGTCTGCCTAGACCAGCGAGCACCTAGACTGCTGTGGTCACCGCAAATAATGTCCCTTTCCTGGGAGCTGTGCACTCCATTAAACATTTAATGCACCAAATACTATCCCTCCGTGTCCCATAACACTGGCCCGGTTACCCTCATTTTTCAGATGGGAAAGCTCAAATGTAGAGCAATTTGGTCCTTTGCCCAAGGTCCTATGGC